AAAGCACTGCCTCGAGAGGCCCAGGGGAATCTTCTGCCAAGGAGATAGGAGACTGGCAGTGACCTGTTTACCTGATGCAAAGGGTGTTCCCCAAAGGACACACTTATCCCCCCCCCTCCAAAACCTACCCAGAAGTGTTTGAAGCAGAGGGCTATTGTTAAGGGAAATATAAGGGCTCTTCTAGAATCCAGATCTCCATCCACCCTCTTCCCATTCCCATGATATGCCAGTTTGGTGAAGACTTGTTCAGTGCCATCCAGCTCACAAGCAGAACCCATAAAGTCATCTACACCCATCACGTGGCTGTTCCGAGGAACAGCGGGGCTGCCCTCCCGAGTTAATAAACATTTACCAGCTTTGGCAACCACGTAAAGGCTGTCTGGCACAAAGGACAATGTTTGCTCCATACTGTGCATGTTTGCTATAGAGTACCTTTTACTATGGATGCCAGGAACACCAGGAATTGCTGAAACACACTTTCCCACAATGGTGTTTTCCTTTCCAATCCGTTTTCAAAGTTCTAAGGCTGAAATTTACTCCGTCAGGGACAACCCCCAAACCCAACAATCCTGTGCCTTTCATAATGATCCTTTCATCAGCAGTAAATATTTGCGTCCTTGCAGATGTAAAGGGTAACATGCCAATCTGCTGGGCTAAGTCTGTGGCACCCTATCCCCATCCAAACTATCACACAGATGAAGGGTTTGTTTGCCCTCTGAACTTACTTGTTCATCAGTGTCCCTGTCACAGGCAAGGACCCTGTAACACGCTGGTCTGTCACATTGCCTTACACGGGGAATGACACAGCTTGACGCGATCAATTATTTGCTAACACAATGATCTTCAGAGATGTGTAAATGGCAGCCAGCCTTGACACTCTCATCAAAGTAATATTTAGGATAAACATACAAATTCCTAATCAGTACTGACCTCAGGTCCTACGTTTTCCATGGAGTCAAGAAAGGGGTTACTGACAGGGCACTTGGACAGTACTCTGAAAATACATTAATCCTTTACCAGTCTGAGAGCAAGCTTTGAGTAATTCTCAGGCCAGAACAAAGAGAAGGGAGTCCTGGGTCTTCCTTGGGTGATCAGTCCATGGGCTGACACCAGATGAGCTGCACCCTCACCTCGCCATAATTGGAAGCAGGACTTGGGCTCTGCTGTGGACTGTTTTCTCCTCATTCCTATAGAGACCTTGCCTGCTGATAAACCTCCTTGGAAAACTCTCTGCTTTGCTGACTGGGGAGAGGGGAGACTGCAGTAAGCTGCAGTACAAAACCACACGCTCTCACCCCCTTACAATAAGTCACCATAGAGCAGCAGCTATTGGAAGGGGAAAAGTCACTCAGACATGGCACGCCATCTCCGATCTGTGACTAAGGGTACAGATGGCCCTGGCCTTCTTCAATACAGTACTAGGGCTTTCTCCCAAAATCTTTTTTTTTAAAGGTTGGCATCTGCAATTCACAACCTTAATGCAGAGGAAAAAGGTGTGTACATCCAGCTCTTGATCACCCAAGGCAGCCCATCTGAGAAGGAAACATATAGCTCTACTTTACGATGACATACTTTCAGTGCAACATTACGCCCCCCTTTAGATCCATGCAACTGCATGAGCTTAAAATGTCAATTTGACATTCTGAGCATCTGCTTCAGGCATCTACATAACTCATGTTTCATCTGCACTCTTTTCGTTACATTCATGCTAAAAGCAGAGAAGGTGGTCTGAGAGACAAGATTTGCTCCTTGAGACTAGAAGAGGGCCAGTTCATGTCAGGAATCAACACTTCCAGGATTTTGTTTCCCAATATAAGGTAGGTAATAAGGAGGCATAGAAAAGGGCATCCTTAAATTAGTTAACAGAAAGAGGCAAAAATGTTCTCAGCCTGGCTATTGCTGCAAGGTCACTGCATTCCTCGGTATTTTATGCTATTTGAAATGGAGCTGTAGCATAATTTGAGAAGTTTTTCATTACATATGAAGTTGAACCATCTCTGAAATAGTTCCTGGTGAAGTTAATATCAAGTAATTCTTGTTTCCCCCTGTCCCATTTTCCAATACACTACATTTCTGCAATGACAACTGGTAATTGCACAGCAGGACCCAAAACATTTTGGCAATAGATCACAAAACTCTTCAGGATGTAGGAGGAAACATGGGATTACTCAAGAAATGGGAACACATTACCCAGTTAACATGATCAGAGAATTAACATTCAAAAAGTCACTTACAGGTTTCAAGGGCTAGCATATTAAGAGAGAAACAATTTAAGAAGTTTAGAACTGTTGTTTCCTATTGCTGGAGAAGTCCACCATGACACCACCTTCTCTTGTTCATGTATTTATCTTGTTCATGAGTTCCTTCTACCTTTAAACTGCAAATTTCTGCAACACTACACCAGAAGTAAAATAGGGTCTGGTTCTGTAACACACACTGGTCTTTCACAAGTGGGCCCCAGAAGCCAAGACTTTTAGCAGTCCCTTTGCAAGTCTCACCTACTCTTGCTTTTACACAGCACAGGTCAAATCTCATCTGCTCCCCGACCACGTACAGCCCCATTTTAATGAATACGATCCCACAGGGGCTCTGCCTGCAGCAACACCAGAATTGAGATGTCGGCAAATAATGGACAGACAACACCAGAAGTAACATTTTTAGTTTAGTGTTTGCAATTTGTTTTACAGCTTATAGTGAAATACTGTTAGATATTCTACATTCGTACGTTTCAGGCAAAATACAGTTTTAAAATCATAAGGCACTTTAAGACTTCCTAAAACAAATGCTCGTGATAAAAATTCAACAAGATGTCTGGATGAGAACCCTTTCTGTTCTTAGTGTTCTACCCTCAGGTCAGTAAATGATCAATTCTCTAGTCAGGCAGGCAAGTGAAATAATCAATAGAAAGGTTTCCAAGACAGAGTTACTGCTGTATTAGTGTGCATTCTGAAGCAGTCTATTTGAAGTGTCTTCAGTTGGGGAAAGAGGGCATGATGTGAATAAGATGCATTAAAATAGTTCTTTGAACTGGGCAACAAAGATGCATTGCAAGGATTAAGTTTCATTACTTTCATTGGATTAAATTCCTTCCATTCATTATTGCCAACAAGAGTAAGGAACAAAAAGGAGCTGGTTCTCCCCTCCCTCCCCCCCGCTCCCATTATAATTCAACACAAGATTTCAAAGACTTAAAATGACCAGGACAGAAGCCGATGAAAAACTGCATCTGGCCACTTCAGAGTATGTTTAAATATTCATTACTGACTTCCTCAGGTCTCACCTCTTATTAAAGAAAGAGAAACATAAAGGCACTGGCAACTGTCTAAGTTGCTTCCAGTCAAATTGATATTTTGCTTCTTTTTAACATGACCTCACTGTTCACATCAAGTACCTGCATTCAGAAAGGCACCAGCAGCTCCCCTTGGCAGAGGATGGCAGGGCAGAGGATGAATGCAGGCAGGACCCTGGGCCCCACGGGGAAGGAGGAAAGAGCAGCTTTGCTTCACACACTTGTGTCTCAGCTTAAGAACAGCTTCAAAAGCTGGACATGCTGGGCTGCTGTAGCAACAAGTGGACTGATACCAAAACACTGTCTGAAGACTTCACTTGGAGACGCATCTGTAGGAACTGCAATCTGATGAAAACTGACAGAAAGAGCTACAATGCTGGCAAATCCACTGCATGCTTCTCAGGGCCCCAGAGAAGGGAACAGTAGGAACTAGCCCCTACCATCCATCTGTGTATTTTCAAGTTGTGAATACCTATTATATTGCCCAGTACATTTTCGAGTCTTTCGGGAAGAAAAGCTACTGAAAAACTTGACTCCCAGGGGCTCAGTGTGTTAGGCACCACAGCACACACCCGCATCCTTAGTCCTCCTCTCAAATCCAACCTCTGAGGGAAGAAAACCCAAACCTAACCAACCAACTAACCAATCATTTGTTTTTCCTCCCAGTCCTTGATTGTTTTAAATTCTGACTTACTTGAATTGCACTTTAAAGCCCAGCAGCAAAAAGAAAACTTGGTAGCTATGTTCAGGAATATATATAAATTTTTAAGAGTCAAGGTATTTTATTGAGTCTAAAAATGCATAGAGATATCAACTGCATAAGCTGTCAAGTTTTGACCTGGCTACCATGAAGAAGCTGTGAAAAAAAAATTAACCTAAAAAACCATACAAAATTTGGGAAGAAAAGGGATGCCTGTTCAGTTAGGAAAGAAAATGCATTTAATTATCAAGCTAAACTAGAACCAACCACTACTGGTCTTAATTCATCACACACAGAGGTGCTACTGTGCAAACAGGAGCTGTGATGAAATCTAAATTTGTGAAGTGAAAAAATGCATGACTTCAAGGCAGTTGCTGCTCAAGAGAAGAAAGGGAGGTGGTACCTCATGGCCCTGAGCTCAAAAGATCTTGAGATCTCAACTTGTGTGGCTCATTTTCACCGGCAGGAGAGTCAAGCTCTAGATCACTCACTACTGTTATACCAGCAGGCAATGTAAAACTGGGGCTCTGGAATCAGCTTACTGTCCTTCAGCACTGCTGGGACTACATTCTCATGGGACAGGAAAAAGCATTTGAAAGATAAGATGAACAAAACAGGCCACTCTCTGACTTGCAATTTAATAAGCAGCATGCAGTTGGTTTCTCTCAAAATCTGTGGGTTTTTCTTCCCATGCAAATCTCACAGAATTTGCTAAAGTGACATCCAGTTGCTTGGTACATACACCTTAAAAATATACCTTTAAAAATTATTTGGAAAGGCACAGGCACATGCAATTACTTCCCTGCAGATCTGTGCATGTGGGGACCAAGTTGCAATGATTAACAATGGACAGGGTACCATTTCACAACTAGATCATTTCTTTCGAATTCCAGTTCTTTCCAAAGGAAACTGGGGAAATATGGAATGCTGTCAAAGAAATGCGAGGCAAGAAATTCAACCTGCACACAGAGACAGACTGGAACATAAAAAGTTTCACAGACCTTGTTCTTCAGGTCACATGAAAGGAAAATATAGTCTAATTAAAAAAAAAAAATTCACTAAAGTTAGTTGTAAAGAGTAGAATTATCAAAGTGCTTTAATATATAAAGTGTCAAAGATAATTAAACAGGACCATTAACACAGAGCTGCCCTAAGATGTTCAAATAGGTACATGTGTTTTCAGAATACAGGAGGGGAGCACAGGTTTTTAATTTCCCCTGTAGGGCCAAAGTGGGTTAAGGGAAGTTTTTCTTGTTCATTTCAGCTTCTTAACATAATGTTTTTTGCTCTGTTAATGCATTCAAAGGCACAGTTGGATTTGCTCTATCAGAAACTGCATCAAAAGGATTGTTTACCATGAAATATTAATAAAGGGGGCAGCTCTCACTGAGCAAAACAAACAACAGCCTCATAAAGTAGATTTATAGATACCTCTCAATTAATAATATTAATTTTATAAGGAATTTCTTGATGCATAAAAATGGTGAGCTGTTTTCCGCAGCCTTCCTTTAAACCTAGTTTAAGATAACTGAACGTGTTATTTGAACCATCCAACAGACTGCCACAGCTATTAAACAAGAGCAAATGCAAACAAATAAATAAGGAAGACGTTTCCAAACCACCTCGTGCAAGATGCTCAGACAACGTGCCTTTGCTTCCCTCCTGGCTTTTCCTCTCATGTTCTGAATCAGGAGAAAATACATTCTCCACAGCACTTCCCTTGGTACTTCCATTAAGCTGCTGTGTATCTTAGTAAGATGACCTAAAAGATGGAAAGTAACTCTACCAAGCACAGCAGAGCTAACTGCAGCAGGGGAAGCGTGGCTGTTCATAAACAAAGACTGCCAGTCAAGACCTTTCCTGCAATTCACAGATATAAAAGCAGATCTGCTTTGGGTAAGCTGAGGCTCAAAAGTGCGACAGAGAGCACCACATCTGGTCCCTTGCACAGGCACACATGGCCACAAGTCTGAAGTAATACGAAGTCTCAGCAGAACAACTTCTCTGTTTTCTGAAGACATCATAAAGACAGCAACACTCCAGGAGTAATGGGAAGAGGCAAGGGGAAGAAAAATAACAAGTACAGTTAGAGTGAGAACTAAGAGCAGCTTAGTATAACAAGGGAGAAGAAAGGTATTTCAGTTTTCTGATGGCTATAACATCTATAACAGCTCAGAGATGCTACACCTCTAGGCAAAGGAAGAGTAACCAGGGCTTGAAATAGTCCTGAACAAAACATTTCAATCTTCATTTTCAGTGGATGGGTGTAAAATCTGTAACTGAAATCAAAGGAGACAGAAAAGAATGGAACTGCTGTACAGAACACTGGGGTCCATACGTACTCACATGGCATCATTAGCCTGTTTCTGATTTACCACAGTGTTAAAGGATCTGGACAGTCTCCTTTGCTATGCAGGATGACCAAAGTCCAGTGAAGCTTCATGTATTAAAACCCTTCTGAATCCGCCAGTGAGAACAAATCCCCCTCCCCTGCCCGTCTGAGGGAGGGAGGGAGGGTGTCTCCCAGCCAGGAGACATTCCTAACAACCCCAGGCAACCTACAGGCAGTATGCTACCGAGTTAGATCTACTAAGTAGCACTGCACCAAGCAAGTCTAGGCTTGCTAAGATGGTCTGCCCCTTGCATGGACTCGAGGACAATTTCTCATGAGCCCTTCAGGCCAGTGGCTCATGCTTCGCTGTTCCATTATCGCTTTTCAAATCTGTTTTCCTTCCTGTCTTCCCCTCTCGCTCCCTGTTATCCCAGAAGGACTTTCTGCATCCTGTGCGCAGCGACGCTGGCCTCATCCTCAGAGTCAGACTCGCTCTGGGAAGTAGAGCTCTGGGAGGCAGAGCTGCAGGGAGAGGAGCACTCTGGGGAGCACAGGTAGTGCATCAGCGGGAGGCGATACTTCCCACAGAAGTCAACGAACTTGATTTGTCTGACGCAGCTGTCAAAGTAGACACCTGTAGGGGCAGAGGGAACAGGAAACACACGTGAGATCCCGTGCCAAGAGACCTGTAAACTCTGCAAGGCTGTTGTGGCTGGTGCAAGTGCCTCAAACAAGGATTTAATTGACACTGCGCTGGACACAGGAGCACAAAGGATTCTGAAGGAAGAGAAGCAACCAGGATACCTCTGGAAATGTAAAATTTCTGTAAAACTGTTATTTCGTAGGTGATTCAGAATGGCACACTCTTCATGAAAAGACACAGGGCAGTTACTTCCAAATAACGTGGAAATTTCTTCTAACCATTAGGGAGAAAACTCAGGCTGGGACTTTGCAAACTTCTTAAATGCCAAATGAATTCATGCACTCTATTTTCAAACTTGTAAAACCTCTTCTACCAGCTAGTAAAAATGCATTCACAAACAGACCTTCACAGCTCTACTTTTCTTCTGCTTGAGTGAAGTCACCATGCTGAGCTTGGATGCTACTTTCCATGGCAACAGTCTTGCTGTAACACACAATTATGTTCTCTTCCTGTCAAAGCAAGTGATTTTAGACGCTGACAAATTCAGAGGTTTCCAGCAGGGTTTTAAGTCCTAACTGGTCAGGAGCAAGCTTTTCTCCTGCAGCGCTAGAGCAACGCTGCAGTACTGTGCAAGTTCATAGGGCAAAGTGAAAAAGCACAAAATCAATCCACTGTTATCCAAGCTGTGCAAAACTCTAAAAAAAGAAACTTTTCTTTCCCTCGCAACACAACTTCCAGCCCTTCTGTCTTTGCTTATGGAGCATGCTATTGATATTGTAAGGAGATAACAGCCTGCATTATGACCGCAGGGTAGATACTAATTAATGATGTTTTTTCCTTAATCTTCTAAAGGCTAAATGCTCAGATCATTTATTCTGGATAAAGATTAAGCATTGAGCCAAATTAAGCCCAAGCATTCCAGGCTTTTTTATGAAGTCCTTTCCTTCCAAGAACTACATGCTTGTAGTCCCAAGCTAGAGCTAAACAAGTTGCTCCTGAAGACTGCTAAGCACTAGAGCCACTCTCCTCTTTTCGATCCAGAAACGATGCTTGCTGTTCAGCAAGAGCGCTTGCAAAAGTTCTCCTGTCCATTACTTACTCTGAATTATTTTAGGGCAGAAGGATCGGAAACTTCAGACCATAAAACCACAGCGGATTGCTGGGATGAGCTACAAAGACTCTGACAGAAGTGCTGTCTTACATTCCCATGCAAATACAGTAAACCAGCACAACAACTTTGAACCCCGTTCCTCAGTGAACAAGGCTCCTTAAAGACAAGTTTGTAGGAAACCTGGAGCCAGAATGTGGATGCAACTAAACATCGAATCTGACAGAGCTACTAAAGTCACAGCAAGTCAGAGGGAAAGGAAATCCATCAGCTAAAAGCAGGAAGCAGAGCTGTAAAGTTGAACTTACCTCCACATTTAGGATTGGGACAGTTGCTGGCCAAGCTCAGATACCGGACAAGAGTCTCCGGGAGATCGCTGGGAGCGTAGGGAACATTGCGAGTTTTGACTGTGCGTCCTGCAAGTTCCTGAAGGCTCGGGGGGTTGTAGGTCAGGTCACGGACAAACCGAACCACCAGCGGGTTCCCACGCAAGCTCAGCTCCTCTAGGTGAACCAGGTTAAGGATCTCTCGAGGGAGGTAAGTCAGAAGGTTATTGTGCAGGCTAAGGGAACGCAAGGAATGCAGCCTAAGGATGGATGGAGATGGAAACCCAGTCAAGATGTGCAAGCAAAATTGTTCCACAACTGCATTACGCAAACCTGATTACTCTCCCCTCGCCCACCAATTTCTTTTTCTTTGGCTTTTCTCCCCTTTAAAACATAAATTCATGCTGTTACTCCAGCACTCACAATGCACTAGAAAACTTGGCTCAGCTCCAGCATACCTGTTAAAAAAACAGTCTTAAATATGCTGCTGTCCCTGCCAGCGTTCTCAACATCCCCCCAAAAAGGTAACACAGAACAAAAGTGTACAAACTGAGCGATTTCAGGGGACACAAGACTTCCTTGTACCTAGTGCATGCATCAAGAGCAGTTCCATGCAATACTCTGAGTAAGTCACCTGCTTTCTCTCGTGCATTAAAGACGATTACTGGTAGGCAGCCAGCCCTGGAAAACCCCGTGTGTTCATTGCTTGTGGCTGCACCACCTTGTGCTGTGATACGACCAGATCCCAAAAGCTAAGCAGGGTCAGGCTGGGTTAGTGTCGGCACAGGTGACAAGCAATTTTTTTGGCTTTTGGAGGAGGCTTTTCCCTCTCAGGAAGCACAGAGCAATACTTCAGCACGGCATCCAGGGATGCTCCCAAACCAGTCAAAGTTATAAGACAACTGGACATTTTCCATCAAGAATAATCCCACTACACCATCAAATTCCTACTCAGAAAACTTCATGTTGCCAATTCAATTGCTTTTGAGGTTACAGCTAAACCTCCCACCTTCACTTCCCAACTCAGGCTGCCCATACAGAGCTGCAGTGTCCTCTTTCCCCCATTACAAACAGATAAAGCAGGAACTTAGCCCCTAGAACTGCACTGTAGGATTTAACAAACACTAAAACATTCTGAGATCCTAGAGTAAGAAATGCCACTGGAACACATGGGATGGTACAAGACAAAAGCACACACAGAACATACTGAGCATTCATCACTAAGAAAATGGTAGCATTCTTACTTCTTACAGTAGCAGTTTCTCTTTTCTGAGTTGCCCAGGTACTTCTTAGGGCCCACTGTACAAATCTATTAATTCACCTTGAAGTGTAACCTCAGTGACATTTTTTTTCCATAATCCTTTGATTGAGTTTTCCATATCATATATTCATGGTCTGCCCGCAGTGCACCATGCCAAAGATTTTCTTGTTCAAGGCTAGTCACATTAACAAACTAAAGGACAAATAGGTCCTCCCAGGTGCTTTTATCCACACACGCAGAAGAAAAAGTTCAAAGAGTTAATTACAGCTGGTGGTTGATGGCAGTAAATACTCACTGTGCCAGCTGAGGTGGAATGCTCTGGATCTTGTTGTCACACAGAACTAGATACTTTAGAGAAGGCAGTTTTGCTAATTCAGGTGGAATTGAAGTAATGAAATTCCCTCCAAGGTATAGGAACTCTAAACTGAAAAAGAGAAGAGAAAACAGTGCATTATTTAATTAAAACCATTTCAAGTTTCCTTTAACACCCAAGTCTTCACATCTCCTGCATTTCGTAAATAAAACTTACAGATGACTACATATGAGATAATTTGCTGAGAGAAAGGAAAAAAAAGGCTGAGTTGCACATCAAAATTACAACAGAGCTGCTGTTTCACAATAGATAATGTTGAGATTTACCTCCAGACTCCTGCAGTCACCATGTCATCTGCAAGTAGGCACCAAACAACAATGTATTCCTACACCAACACCATGTGCAAAGGTCCTACTCCTACTTCCCAGGAAGACCAGCCTGCACAGCCAGGGTCTGCAGCACCGACACAGATCCTGCTACAGCCAGTGGGAGCTCCCAGTTTCGGTAGGGTAAAGCAAGAGAGCAGTGTCTCTCCCTGAAAATCCCAGCCCTGCACAAGCACCAGTCGCTCTTTATGGTATCATTTGACTGCTCAGTGACTAACTAGAACCTTTCAGCATTAATCAGAGGCAGCCAGTCCCACTTTGATACAGTTTGCAGATCAACAACACCACAGCTGCCACAGCACAGAGTGCACCTAAGTCACACAAGTACATGCACATAATTTCTCAGATAGATTGGTTTCAGTATACTGAAGTCATGAAGCCCAAAGCTACCAAAACCATTAGCTGGACTCAACTGCACTTTGGGCCTAAATGAAAGAAAAGAATCGTTAGATGTCCTGGGATGGGAAACAGGATCAGAGAGAGCCACTAGTTCCCTTCTGCCAGGTGGAGTAGCCGGTATTTTCTGGGGAAGAAGAAAATCTAGGAAGTAAAATTGGCAAGCACTTCTCTTCAACATAAGTTTCAAGTCCCTGTTTCAAGGATTCAAATAGCTTTCCTTCCCTGTTCTCAGATCTTGTCTGGAAGAGGAGAAAAGGCAGGTTCAATTTGGGTACTTCTTGCTAATCACAGTCCAGACAAGACTTTTTCTCATGCTTGAAAAAGTTGGATCCCACAGTCCCGGTTCAGTATCTCCAGTACACACTCAGGTTAGCTGCCTAACTACAACATACATTAGCCTTCTCTGATCCACCAAGTATTCCTCACAGGTCAGGGAAAGTGAAGTCATCCAGGCTCCATCAGCCTTTCTTTAAGAACAGGTTATAACCTCCTTGGAATAGGAGACACATTCATCTCACCCCAGCAACCGAGAAATGGATACAACTGGCACAGAAACACATGAACAAAGCATCCAAGGGAGATGGTGGTGGACCCAGAGAAGGTTTGAACCCTGCAGCTCTGTGCAAGAGCATATGTGGAGCGCCACAGAAGCTCCTCCCTGAGGCTTCCCCTGGGATGGAGCAGAACAGTACAAAGTGTCTATTTGTGCAGTTCTTGCAGGAAACTTGAACCCCAAAGATCCAATAACAGCATCTGCTTGGGCTACAGAGGCCACTAATGCAGCACAAAGGTCCATCTGCCCAACAGCAGAGAAGAAAAGGACAGACCTCTGCCACACGCTAAAGAGATGCTCACAGAGCTTAACTTCCCCTGGATTCACTTACCTTTGTGGAGTATGTCAAAGGCAAGGTAAATAACTGAAATTTGACCAAGTGGGTACAAAGCTAAACCCTAAACTGAATTTGGTAATATGAAAGGAAGTAACTACACTCACTTCAGCTGAGAGACACATTTGGAGGTTACTCTGAACATGCAAGAAAGTACACAAGGAAAAACCACCACCAATCCCCACTGCTCAAAAGTAGCCTCTTTTCTACCCTGACAACCTGTAGGTGGAGTGCGGGTATGAGGAAGGCTGCTGTGCAGAGACCACGTCAAGCAGAGATTATTTTTAATTAACTTTTGATCCCCTAACAAAGCCCTGAGTTTTAACCAAAATTCCTCCTTCAACCTCTGTTGTTTCCCAAGGTGGATTTAAGGCTGCTTGGCTCTCATTAGGGACTTAACTCCTGACCATACAATTCTTAGGCATATTTCAACTCCATGCCCTTGCTGGAGCCCACACCAAAATCTGTTGGACAAGGGAATTCTAGTAATGTGGATTTCAATATTTAAACAAGGTTTGGATGTGTACAAGTTTACACTTGCTACAAAAAGTGAATAATTAACTCCTCATCCTCTGTGTTTCAGGACACCAATGCCTGTAAAGCCTCATGGCACAAAACCACTTAGTACCAGGGAAGGAGAAGAGGGGTGCAAACTATACAGTATAAATGTTTTGTTCAAGGTATTAAATGTGTAAGTTTCAAAAGCAGCTTACTGCAGAAACTCAGCGTGCAAAACCACTGCCTACAAACTACTTACAGCTTCAAATCCATTCTTTGTAAAGTCTGTGTAATGACAATATTCTGTCATACCAGGTAGAATATAAAGCCCCAACATCAGAATACAAACTGTGTCTAACTAAAAATCCGCAAATAAGACAACTCCTTCAGTGGCAACTAAGTGCTTCTTAAAAATTGTTTTCTTTTTACCTACCTTCTGAATCACCTTTTTGAGGTCAGCAGATTATCAACTCACTGGGCCCAGTTTGGTGCAGCAAATTCAGAATTTCCACATCAACTTAAGATATTAATTAGATGGTCATTCATTAAAAAAACAGATGGAGAAGGTTTTGAAACTATAAAGAAACTTATTTAAAACACATGAAACATCTTTTTATAGCTTCAACTGAAAAACTGCTCAGTAGGCAACTGACATCCAGAACTCCAGTCCCTCAAAATACTATTTGCTAGAAAGAAGGATCTAGCCTAGTCTTGGCTAAGCAAGGTGAAGAAATTACCAACAGGCATTTCTGCAACACATTAAGTGTCAAGAATCGTCTGAGCAAAGCTAATCATGACACAGGAAAGGATTTTCAAGAGACATGACCCTTTTATAAAAAGCACTGACCACACCACTGGGGCCCAAGGGTTGTTCCCAGCTCATCTACTTCTGGCCTGATTTTCCCATCATACTAAGCCCGTATCTAGAGGCCAAGGTGATGCTGGCTCTCCGGCTGTCCTACCTGGGGCAGGGCAGTTTGCTGCTTGGTCAGACCAGCAGAAGCACTGCTGAGCTCTGCTCTCCTCAGACAAGGGCCTGCAGCAAGGCAATCTACAGCATTTACCACTGTTTTTTCAGGATCACAGCAGAGACCGGACTGAGCTTAGTGAATGCTTACCTAACTAACCTTTCACACTAAGTCCTGGTTCTTCTGACAATCATTAATCTGTACAGTCACTTTGATCGATCAGCTAAGGTCTCATGCACTGCTGTGTACACAAGAGGGAGAGCTGGAATTTTTTTCTGCACTTTCAAAAGTCAGTTCAGAAACTTCAAAATGCCAGAGAGCAACAAGTCTTAAAGGAACATAAGCTCAGTTCCTATTTTGGAAGCTAGAATAAATGATGCACTTCCAACCCGACACAAAGGCTCTGGCTGAATGAGTTTCAAGAGGGTAGAAACACTAACAAAATCAACCTCAACAAAAAAGGAAAAAAACCCCAACAACCATTTGACAGAGTAACTAATGAGGGTTGACACTTTCTCTCCTGCCTTTTAGCAATGTTTACAAATACACTACTAAAAGGCCAGAGTCCCTTTCAGCCTCATACCCAGCAGCTCCCTGCTCAGCACAGCTAGTACTAATTGCTGCCAAGCAGCAGCCGGCCCGCCGAGCCCATCATGTGTTGCTCCTCTCTAGCAGGATATTTCACACCATCGGGCTGTAGCATCGCAATGAAAATCCTTTTAAATACTGGGAAAGGAGTGGAGAAATGCTCAAACAACTACGAATCAATTCAGGTAATGGCAGCAAAGTTTAACCTGTCAAGAGACTCTTGCTTGAGTATGTCCCTGACGTTTTTAGGTCATCATACACCACAAATCAAACCAAAAAGCCCCAAAACATTCGGTAAACAAGAAGAGCCCACTCTGGGCACTAGAGCACATTTTTGATGCCCTGTCAACTACCACAGCACTCCTATTGTCATGTTTCAAGGGGAGAATGTCTTCTGCCATAGGAGATACTCAAATTTTCAATCCACCCTCTTTGCCCACAGATGCTTCTTTGAATAAAATCTAACAGCTGACATCAAACAGATGCATCTAAATAGGTAATCTAAAAAAAAAAAAAAAAAAAAAAAAAAAAAAAAAAAAAAAAAAAAAAAAAAAAAAAAAAAAAAAAAAAAAAAAAAAAAAAAAAAAAAAAAAAAAAAAAAAAAAAAAAAAAAAAAAAAAAGCCAAAACTCAAACAAAAAAAAACACAGCTAACCAACAATGGTGCCTGAAATAGCTCCGGGTCTTTTTAAGATAAACTTTTAGCAAGAAATTTCCAGGGCAGTTTTGAGGCTCATGCAAGGGAGGAATTTCAAAGCAGCCCACAACACACTCCTGTTAACCCTGTTCTACGATTTGCTAATTCCTGAGAGAACTGCATAGCCTTTGCTGACACGCAAATTTAAGATCAAACAGTCGTCTGAAAACTATTTGCAAAACGTTTGAAGAGGGGAAGGAGAAGGGAGGCAGCAAGCAGATTTCCTAATGCTGCATCTTTATCAAAGCTCCACTTGCCCTTTTTCCCACACTGTAACAGCCGTTCTTTAAGCCTATGCTTGTCTAACATGCTTAATACTACCCACGAATGAAAGCAAACACTCTGGTTTTCACTGCATCTAAGCCTTTACACAAAACCTGGATAAATCCAGTTAGGCCTTTGAGGTCTTTGATCCAAGCCCTCGCACAACCAGGCTTTATTAGAGGAATACAAGCAAGAAGGAAAGGAACACGCACAGCTCTTCTCCAAGCTCTTTCTGCCTGCTCCTGGTGCTCTGCTGCCCATGAAGGTATTCCCTGAAAGAGTGCAACTGAACTTGAAATTCACATCAGGAGATTCAAAGTATCGACTGCGTTTCACTAAGCTCTTGAGAACTGTTCACTTTAAGGGATACTTGCAGGATATTTCCCCAAGTGTGCACAGTCCAGGCACCCTTCAGCCAAAAGCCAAAACTGCATGGTGAACTGCACAGAGCTGTTTTTTACCAGACTTGCCACACTTCTGTTTAGAATGGGCACAAGTAGATGTCCATGTTTCTATCTCACCAGCTATAATACACATTAGCCCATAGTGCATCCCTATCTGGATCAGCAGAAGGACAGGCAGAACCAATGCAGCAGTGGGATCTCTACACAGATCACAGCTCAAGAGCTGCTGAGGGCTGTGAATCGAGAGCGAGAGTGACTGACCATAGCATCTCCCACTGAAAACACAGCAAGGTCAAGAGGGAGAAGTACAGGAAAGATAACACCTACCAAGCTCATATTTTATCTGGCAGGAGACAGGAAAACAATGCAAAAAGGGCTGCTCTCACACGTCTGGTGCATTCACCACTCTATATTCACAGCAACAGCCAGTGCTCAGGTCTTGCACTGTGCAGACAGGCATGGCTTCAACATGATTTCAAAATGCCTCAGCAGGGGCAACACCTACATTTCTCACACGAGGTTGCTGCCTGCCACCCTAGATGCTTGCAGTAAAATTAGGATGAAAGAGCATTGCATTTTCCTAATGGAAAACATGAAACAAAGGCTATTCATCCCTGGTGCCAGCAAGCTATGATCAGCATCATCCTACTGCCATCACCAGAGCAGTCGTGACCATACACTTATGGAAGCCATATGAAGAAAGCTTCAAGCATACAGGTGGTCATACCTCAGCAGCCTAGGAGGCAACTGATAGTCAGGACACAGCACTCACTTTCCACGCAGGATCTTGCACTGCACAGAAAACATTTGTGTGGGCAAGAATGGGGCAGACGGCTGAAGCTGGAGGGAGTAAGACATGACAGCACAGGACTGGCTGTGGTTCTTATCACCAACTTCATTAACTTGTGAAACCACCGGGAACATACGAGGGAGAAGTTTTTGCACAGAACGCCTGACCCAACCCCAGCTTGCTGTAAAATGGTGGATTTACTATCTTCCTGTGATGTGTAGTCACCAGCCTTTGCATGTGTAGTCACCAGCATCCATTCATTCTCCTTTGGCTGATCAGACCCATCGGCTTTGTATTCTTTCAACTTCACCACACACACAGAGTCCTCACCTGCTACATGTCTGGTCTTCACTAAAACTGATGTGCCACCCCTTCAAAAACTACAAGAGGAAACTATGGGGTGCAAAGACATGAAGCTTAGTTATCAGGAATATTTTTTTAAAAAATCTCATCACAGGTCAGACATTCCCTGGAAACATTCAGAAGTATTTCTAGATCTCTGCAACTCCAGCCTGCTCTATAATCAGTGACTGGAGCAAATGGGGAGCTGCCAGGGTTACAGGAGGAGGAGAACAACTGGCCTGAAGAATTCTGAGTACCAGCAGGAGGAACGTGTCTGGTCAAAGTGCTGCCTGCATTCCTCTGTGGTCTCAGAGACCACAAGATATAAGAAAAATTTCTTTTTATGGGAAGCTGCACATGGAAAAAGGCTCAAAGTCTTCGCTTGCCAGCAACAGCATGACGGACATTTGCAGCTTGAGCTGCAACTTTAACAGGAGCCACAACACCAGTTCCCACCTCCAAGTTCACAGTTCAGAAACTAACAGAGGTCTCCACTTTGCCCTGCCATAACAGCTGGCTCTGCTCTGTCCTTGCTCGGACTCGTTTTACCCACTTTGACACCATGCACACTCACACTGAGGGCACCTCTCTTGTCGGACAACAGGAATGGGGTCTGGCAGTGGTTTTTCTCCAGAACATATTCAGTATCTTTTTGGCAAGGCTGTAAGGTCACTGGTTATCTGGCTCCCAATGAACAGATTCAGGATTCCCTCTAGAGGAACATTAGATTATAAAGTACTGGTTTTTCCCAGTGCTGGCAAACAGTGTGGCTCCCTTTTGTTACCTCAGCAGTCCCAGATACAGAAGTCACTGATGGCATAGTGGTAAAGAAGCTGAAAATCCTGCTGGGGCACAGATTTGCTATCTTGAACTAAAGTTCAATTATATTATGTTGACATGTTAGCAGAAGTTCAATGAGTTAGCAGTGGTGACGTGGGCAGCAGACACAATCTGGGTCTAGTCTGACTTTTCCACCTGACACATCACTTTGTAACGATAAGTGGACAGTTCAATAGCCTTGTCCGAATCTGCCCTCTCAGGACTGTCATTCTGGGGTTTCAGCACGATCAGCCCAAGAAAAGCTGCAGGACAGGACAAAGAGGAGCCCTGCCTCAGGGAAGGTCAGAGGAACAAAGCAGAATAACCATGCAGCAGCAGTCTGACAGGGGAAGTACAGCTCTGAGCCCGCTGGGGCACCATGTGCAGTGCTACACAGCCTGGTACCTTCCTGGGGACAGCGACATAAGGAAAAGCAGGGCTGAGATTTGCTTTCTTTTGGGGGGAAAAAAGAAAAGGGAGAGAGAAAAACCACAACCACAGACTGAGATCATGTAAACAGCAGCAGGGAGTCTTTACCTCAGAGCTGGGTGCAACAGTTGGATCCCAGCCACATCCTGGATGCCACCAGACATGTTATGGAGACAAGGTGCATCATCTCCCTCAAGCAACTGCCCTCCTCCATTGGGCTCCTCTCCCATGAGGCTGGTGCATCATTTCCTTCTTGAAACATTTCCTTCCCTGAAGCAACTGCTCTTGGACAGAGAAAAAGCTGAGCTTCCACCTCCTTGTGACAGCCCCAACCCAGGGTGCATCCCAACTCTGCCAAGAAGGATATGGGCATTCTCTATCCCTCAAAATGCCTCACAGCACCACTCAACCCAGAAAGTTTAGCCCAGAACTGATCCTCAACATGCATGCTATGCCACCTGGAGAAAAGCCACATACCCAACTGTATTATACTGCAGCAGGCAAAACCATTTCCCAATAGCACTGAAGCAGTTCTGGTACTTCCCACTCAGGCCCGTGGAACACATCACTCCATAAAGAACATCCTATGCTTCCACTGCATGCAGCTCTGCCGAGCCCTCAGAGTGAATCCAGCTACTTAGGGTCAAGGTTGCTGAAATCTGCATATGAGAGGCTGCCTCTGACAAGTCCCTTGGCAAAGAGCTGGAGCAAACAAAATTCAGATCCAAAGTCTCAGCACAGGGCCACAGAGAGGCCAGACTGAGGCTTGAGAATCCAGCAGAATGCACTGAGGTGCCTGTGTGTAACACTTAGGACACAGCACAGACTCTTGCCCAGAAGGATAGCAGGCTTCAGAAGTACCCAGCCCAGGTCAATGCAGGCAGCCAATACCCAATGCCGTCTAAGGCCTGTTTCCACCCCATCAAATGTTCCTAACTGCTATGATTCAGCCACAGGCTTTTGTGTTACCAGCCTGTGGTGGCTGGATACCCCTGAGCCAGATGTACCACTGAAGCCGAGCACAGCCGAGGGCTCCACACTTTGGGTCTGTCAGACCTACAAAAGTCGATGGGTTGAGAGAAAAAGCACAAAACCCCACCCATGACAGCAAGCCCCTCCTCTCCCAGATGAGACTGCAGCTGTATCAGCAGAAAGGCCCTATTGTTTTGCATGAGCCACAAACACATCTTTATTCTCCTGGGCATCCCATTGTGCAGCTGTGAGCTACATGAGCCCAGGGGATCGTCTCTCTGTCACCTAGAGATCTGCATCAGAGCAAAGCCACAGAGCCTTCCACATGCCAACACTCACATCAACCACACTGTCACCGGGAGAGCCTCCCCTGCACCAGGGCAGCCCAGGGACTGGGCAGGCCTGAAAGAGTTGCCCAATTTGCAAGCGCCGAAGACCCATCATCACCTAAAGAATACAAAGAATACACAGGATTGGTCAAGTTGGAAAGGACCTCAGTGGGTCATCTGGTCCAACCACCCTGCACAAGCAGGGTCATCCTAGAGCACATGGCACACAATTGCATCCAAAGGGTTCTTGAATATCTCTAGTGAAGGAGACTCCACAGCCTCTCTGGGCAATCTATTCCAGTGCTCGATCACCTGCAAAGTTATGGTGGAACTCATGTTCAGGAGAAACTTCCCGTGCATCAGTTTCTGCCTGCTGCCTCTTGTCCCATTGCTTGAAAACACCGCAAAGAGCCTGGCTCTGTCCTCTTGGCACCTCCCTTCAGATACTTATAGACACTGATGAGGTAAAGAGCATGCTGGAGTTTTGGCAACTCAACCTGCCGAAGGGGAAGAGCCACGCTGGCGGCAGCAGTGCTTTGAGACACCTGGGGCCGGGCAGGGCTGACCCCCGAGGGGGTTGCGTGGCACGGGGAGCGCTGCCCCGCTGCGCGGCAGGAAAATCCGGCCGGGTTTGCTGGGGCCGTCCCTGTTCCCGCGGGGGCCCGTCCCTCACCTGCGGAGCTCCTGGATGTCGGGCGGGATGCTGTGGAGGCGGTTGCCGCCGAGGCTGAGGCTGCGCAGCCCGCGGAGCCGCAGCAGCACGGGCGGCACGTCGGTGAAGCTGTTCCCGCTCAGGTTCAGGACGCGCAGGGAGCGCGCCAGCGGCGCCTGCCCCAGCCCCTTGGGCAGCGACCCGGGCCCGCCCAGCCGGTTGTTCTTGGCCAGCAGCGTGTGCAGGCACGGCAGGGACAGCAGCTCCGCGCCCATCTCCGTCAGCCCCGTCCCGCTCACGTCCAGCACCTCCAGCGCCGGGAACCACTGCGACAGCCCGGCGGGCAGCGGGCCCGACAGCCGCCGCGGCGACAGCACCAGCTGCCGCGCCTCCGCGCTGCGCCGCGCCGACAGCTCGGCCGCCAGCGCCAGCTCCGGCTCCGGCTCAGACTCGGGTTCGGGTTCGGGCTCGGCCGAGCCGCGCCGCGGGGGCTCCAGCTCCGGGCCGCCCCCGTCCGCCGCCGCCATGCCGCCCGCACTGACCGACAGCCCCGCCGTCACCCGGGGGCTTCCGCGCCTCGCCCCGCCCCGGACTGCCCCGGAACCTGGATGGACCCGCCAGCCCCGGGCGGCCCCGCGCGGCCTCACGCGGCCTCACGGGGTCATGCTCGATCCCGGGCGCGCAACCCGCCGAGCCGACAGCTGCCCCAGCGGGCGGAGTGGAGCGAGCGTTCCTATGCAGGTTGCGGGGCGCTCGTGGGAGGGCGCAAGAGGGAGCGGGAGCCCTTTGACGGCCCCGGAACGAGGGCGGGAGGGCGGTGCGGAGGTGGGCGGTGGGTGTGGGAGCGCCGATGGCCGCAGGTCAAAGCTCCCCGTACCGCTGTTTGCCTCAGGGCACCGCCACAGCCCGCGCTCGGCTGGCTGGGGAAGAACCACTGGGTGCTCGCCGCGGGACTGGAACTGCCGCCTGCTCCCTGCAAAGGGTGTTATGCCAGGCTCGCAGGAGCCAGGACACTAGAGCTTGGAGCCCCTCTAACTGAAAAATTTAATTATAACTTTCTCCCTGCCCCTTTCGGTCACCCCTCAGAGTCCGAAGGAGAGGTGCTGCCTGGCCCCGTGTGCCCCAAGGGCTCTCCGTTGTGGCTGGCCCAGCATCCCTGGCCAGCCGGTGTTTTGTCCAAAGGCTGATCTGCTTTGATCCTGCCCATGCCAGGGGAGTTTGGAACTGGGGAATCTTTAAGGTCCCTTCCAATCCAAACCATTCTATGAGCTGCTGCTGGCAGAGCACCGAAGGGCCTCCCAGAATTACCTCAGTGTGTGTCCCTGCCTGGGTGTGAAAAGACGGCGTTAATCTCCCCCTGGACACAAGTTAGCAGCAGTGTAATCAGTAATCATAGGAAGAAGCAGCAGCAGCAATGTGTGATGACAACGAGAAGATTCACAGCCCAAGGGAACTTCTGCCCTTAAAAAGTCCAGCCTTCGAAACAGACTTGCTTCCTTGTGATGCATAAGAGAGCCAAAAAGAAGGGAATGACAACCACCCACTGCCCAAAACACTTCATATCCGCAAAAGTCTCTATCATCTCAGACTGGAGGAAACAGAAAATCAGTCTGCTGATTTAAGCCAAGAGCTTAAAAGTACATATGAAGTAGCAAAAATTATGAGTTTAAAGGTGTCCATAATACTGGACAAAACCCATGGTCCACTTGTCTTTCCTTTAGTGCTCCTATGAACTCTGGATTTTACCACCACAGATATTTTGATGTGACAGCTCCCGTTCCCAAAATCAAGAAGTTGTCAGGGCTGTGCCCAGCCTTCAAAAAAATATGCCACAGTGGGTGGGAATGAACAGGTCACCTTCCATTGGACTTGTTTCATTAGTCTTCCAAGACTCTGTGGATTCACAGATGTAAGCCCTGATGCGAACCCAGAGATAGCTGTAGAACAGACACTGTACTGGTATTGTTACTTTTTTTCAGCATAATTTTTTCCACTCTGCAAAGGTTGTGCTGTTTCAGCTGGATCAGGATAGTTCTAGGAGAGTTTATGTAAGCACAAGAGTAAGGTCATCTGGATTTAATTCTTGTCTTCTGTAGTGCTTTAAGCCTGGTTCTCCCAAAGGTGTGTCCTGTGAACTGGTTCAGGAATCAAGTTTTATTACAGATCAGTTTCCTCCCATCCTCAGAACTAAAGTTAATACCTTACAAATGCAGTTCAGAGTCTTGATCAGCCACTTAAATAGCCTGTTTCTCAGCTTGAAGCTTAGCAGTGCTGGAGAATTGTGATTAGGTATATGTAGCTACAGGGCAGCAACTTAATACTCAGATGTGCTTAACTCTATAAAGAGGTCAGAGTTTTTCCCAGGCCTCTGCTAGCAGTGGGCAAAGCAGTTTTTTTCTTTTCCTCTCTCCCACCTCAAAATCATTTTGCTTCAGTAAGTATGCGTGATGCACAAGGCAAAGTATTTATAGTGCCATCTAGCTAAATTTGTTTCTGATGCTTCCCTTCATTCCTTCTTAAAGTCCTGGGAAATTCTGGCAGGAGAAATTGAATAAGGCAGTCCCACTTTGCAGCTGAGCAGTGAATGGGCAGGCAGTGCCACAGGAGAGACTGCAAGCGCAGCAGCTGGTACATGCTAAAAGAGGCCATTTGGTGTGAAAAGTAACATGGTGAGGCAACGTTTGTGGGTGGGTTTGGTTATTATTACACAGCTTTGGAAGGAGCACACCAAGGGAAAAAAAGTTGGACCAACATTTGCACAGAAGTGCTTAAGAGTAGTGGCATTATAGTTACGGGGGAGATGGATGGTAAGGCATTATCCTCCTGTTAATACACCACCATTAAAGGCTGTTTCATCATTCAGTTCAGCAAAGATGACATTAGCCTTTTAGCCCTGCGTTCATAAGGTCATATTAGAAATAGAAGGCCTATTCCTGATAGCTGTTACTCCAGTATATTCTTAAAATCCATACAGGGAGGAAATCTTTGTAATATAAGTCTGCGTCTTCCAGTTATTTGCTGTCCTTTGACATTCAAAAGCATTCCCTGATGTGTCCTCTGGATCTGCCTTGACTGTCACAGCTGAAGCTAGTGTCCCATCCACCACAGCCAGATGGGCATGTTCACCTTGGCAGCAGTCTCCACCTGAAGACATTTAGATCTTTCCTTCTTGACTGTCCCTATGGCTTTTGATCTGTCCTTGCAGGGCACATTTTCAAGGCCTTTATTTATTATTTTTACTTGCCTATGGGTTGTTTCCACCTGATTCCTCAGATATAAAAGAGAGACACTCATGCTTCACATTTGTCAAGCACATTGAGAGCTGTGTATGAATGTGTAGACAATTTTTTTTAAGAGAAAAATGAAGTCACATGGCTTGTGAGAAATAAACCAAACACATATTACTTTTTAAATTTTGTTTCATTTATTTGGCAGTAATATCCAAACCCCCCTGCTTCAAAAAAAAATTACAAAATCAAGTAAAATAAGTGCACTAAGGAAACCTACAGAATACTGATAAATTTCACACACGTACAGGAGGGACTATAGAGGGAGGAGTGGGATTTTTTTGTTGGTTGCTTAAATTTGGCTTTTTGGGGAAAAAAAAAAAAAAGCCTTCCCTGCCCCTTGTAGTCTGTACAGCAGTTGTCCCAGAGGGCAATGGCTGAAGTTCAGCACTCCCTTCCCCAGCAGCCACGTCACCCTGCAGGAGTTAGCGACCGACCAGCCTGCAGCAAGATTTAGTCTGGGCATGGCTCAGTCTGGGCTGCCCTTCCCCTGTGTGCAGAGAGGCGAGATGTTTCAGTCCCCTTTGGGAACTGTAGCCCTTAGAATGGGCATCGCTTTCCACAGCTGCACATCCCTTTGGGGGCACGAGAAGGAGGGAAAGACTCCACAGGCGGCAGCCCTTTCCGTGGAGGCATAATTGCTGCTCTCCCACCCTGCGGCCCCAGGCCACCCTAGGGTGTGTCGTATGGCTTCTCAGAGAGCTCAGCTTGCCTTGCTGGAGACAGCAGCCCATCCCTCCACCTTCAGTGCAAGAGCAAGCTCTGTAAACCTCAACTATCAGCACACGCCTCTCCTTCTGCCCCCAGCAGCCACCCTTGTTTAAACGGCACATCCACAGCAGACAGGAATGGGACTAGAGAACATATCACATAATGCAGCCTACAGAAGCCCTTGAGCCATGGATTCGCCTTCCCTTCCTGTGCATGCTTTGGTTCTTTCAGTGGGAAATATTCCCGACTGAACAAGATGTTATCCCCATCCACGGAAAGCCCTTAAGGCAAGCTGTCGTGTTTTCTCTAAGGCACTTGAATGACACAAGCTGGAAGGAAGAGAGCTGGGAGGCACTAACTTTTAGAGCAGGGTCAGAATAAAGCAAAACATTTATTAACAATATTCCTGTGACTCCATATCCAGCACATGAAGCCCTTTCACTCACACTGTTGGGAAGGAGCAAGGCTACGTCTAATGGGTGCTCCTATTTCACCAAGCACTTCTTCCAGTGCCACCAGAACACAAACAGTGACTTCATCCCAGCGTAGCATTTTCCACATTACCCTCAGTTCCTATGGACTCATTCCCCTCACCTGCACAGATGACAAATCAAAGGCAAATCCAGGCTGTCATGAGAAAAAAAACCCAAGAACTTCCTTCTGTATTTATGATGCCAGAACCTCAATAGCGGGGTACGTCATGGTTCTCACTGGAAAAGTGGCACTATGCCAAAGTCAATGGAAGTCCTCTGCGTTCATATCAGGAAAAGAGCTTGAAGACCAGACAGCCTTTAACACATCTGACTCATGGGAAAGAGCACAGGAGGGACCAAGCTTTCTTCTTTTCCTATACTTCTAGGTGCTGTCTCATTCTTCCTCTCCAAGGAAAGCACCGTGCAAAAAGGAGAAGGTCGGGACAAAAGTCCTGCTGATCTTCAGTCAGGCAGGACATGCTTCTGCAGATGCAAGTGGAGTTCTGCTGGAGTAAGCACCAGGGACTGAAAGTCACCCAGCACAACTGCTGAAGTTGCTCACACACAGACAGATGGAAGTCATGAGCAGTCATCTCAGGGTACATGCAACTGCTTGGGAAGTACAGGAGGGGCATGAAGGGAATGTGGAGGCTCGGGTGTGGATGAAATACATTTGACAATGGAGAAAATCAGCCAGGCTTGAGGCTACAGAGCTGATGATCAACCAAACACCATTTAATTTATGTCTAGAACCAATGCTCTGAGAAATGGGTCAGACGACACTAACTCATGAAGGGATGTGAGAGTGGTCAATGATGGTCTGATCAATGAGACTGTGAAATGTGTCAATAATGAGGCTTCCAGCCCTGACTCCAAACTCATACCTGGAATCAAAGAATAATGCTGCTGCCTCACCCCAGAGGAAGATGAAAAGCCCTAGATGATGGCCAACAGCACAACTAAACAGTTTTCTATTAGGTTAAGCCTTTTAAGATACTCTACTGATGGGATTGCCTGGCCCCTCTGTCTCTAGACTGTTTGCAATTCCCTCTGGGC